TATATATATAGTTACGCTTCAGACATTCACACACTGATGGTGGCAAGCTATACCTTTATAGGACTTTCTACTGATAATGATTTGTAGCTTTTTTGTAAAATAAAAATAGTATGTGTTATTGTCTTTCATGCTTTTCCCCAAACTTCATTACAATAGATTAAACGTAGAACAATCATTACATTATACAACATACAGTATACAGAGCTTTATCATTCAAAAGCTCTTTTACTTTGTACAGCGGTGCAATTGATTGTGCTATTTTTCGCGAATAATTTAAATGAGATTTCCTTGTCAGCTTCTCATCAATGACACCCAAAAATGTTTTAATGTTTATTCATTTATTTAGCAGGACAGTGCATATTAATAACTATATCTGTAACATGCCAGAATTAGCCCAAGGCTAGTTTTCWTCTGGTGGCCAGTTGTACAGTGGCACCTAGCAGTTCTGAAGAGCAGCATAACTATTCTTTAAGCACACAGCAGCAGCAAAATATGTTATTTCACTAACAATAAATTTCATCTTCAATACAGAATGAAACTTTGATAGTTTTCTTTTTGTTACCAAATAAGTAGTTTGTTTTGTTCAAATTCAATGATAATTTATTAAGTTGTAACCAAGTTTGTATTTTCATAAATTCTGTTTGTAGCTATCACCTCCAACATTTGTCCAGTATTTTCACCAAAATAMAAAAAAATGTAGTGTCAAAGCTTTGCCACAATGGCCAGACCATTCACATACAAAATAAACAGTTWTGATCCAAACACAGAGCCCTGAGAAACTCCACAACTAATATTACATAATTCAGATCTTGCAAAATTTACCTCCAAACTGTTTCCTWTTTTTCAGATAATTACATACTTACTGTGGTGCCAACCCTGTAAGGCCGTATATATTCAGTCTTTCAATAAGGATGTTATGGTCAGTGGTGTTGAAAGCCTCCTTTAAATCACCAAAAAAACACTTAACACAATACTGTTTTTGATCAACAGCAGTTGTCTCTTCCATTAATTTCATGAAAGCCATTGGTGTTGAGTTATTTTCTCTAAACCCATATTGACTTCTATTTGAAATATTATTTTTTTCTATAAATTGATTTAATCTGGCTACAAATAATTTCTCAAACATTTTTGAAAACTGTAGCAACAAGGATACTGGTCTGTAATTAGGGAACACATTTATCACCATTCTTATAAAAATGAATTTCCTGAGCTATTTTCATATTGTCTGGAAATATTCYTGTTGAAAATGATAAGTTTCACCAAGAAAAATGCTATTGGTTCTACACATGTCTGCATTTGGTATTTTAGCTGCAAGACTTGGGCCAACATTCACATAGTATTGATTGAATTTTTTCACTATTTCATTCTTATAGATTTTCTTGTCAGCCTTTAAAAATTACTGAAAAAAACCCTTTTCAAATCACCCTTAGGCTACTATTATTTAATAAGTCACTGTAATACTGCTTCTTATGCTTTCTTACAATCCAAACTAACTTGTTCTTATACTTTTTTTTATTTATAAACATCATAGGCTGCTATATGTACAAATGCAAACAACTTCAATTAAAATAGTGCCGTAGTTATGTATATTATTTAAAGGCATAAACAACAGTAGAACCTTAGAAGAGATGAAATTATATGGAAATGTATTGCTGACACCCAGAGAAAAATAAAATGAAATYGTATCACCTTATAACATATTCAGTTTTGAAAAACTGATGTCATAACATATTGTGATAAAAACATGTTCAAATGTGAAGAACATAAAGACATCACTTTATAAAGTAAAAAGGAGATCATTTGAACAATAAACACTAAACTTTTCACTTTATAAAATTTCTTTTGATAGCAATGTGCTTCCATATAAAAGGTGTCAGACATATATCACTTTATAAAATTTCTTTTGATAGCAATGTGCTTCCATATAAAAGGTGTCAGACATATATTTCAGTTATTTTGTTTTGATGAAAATCACACAAAAGCACTGAGTAGGAGGCCCAAATGCTCCGAGAATAAATTAAAACTTTCTCCACTTGAATTCATACCTTCATTTGTCTATAGCTATCATTTGTTGTGAAGGAAAACCTCAAAGATTTTTTTCAATTTCATTTATTTTTTTTCAATAAAATTTGAACACATTTTCAAGGCAAGAACAAAACTTTTAAAAGTAATTCTGTTGTAAAACATTAAATTCTTTGAATTTTGACAAAACAAATACCAAAAATGCAAGTATTTAAACTGTTCAAAAACTATTGTGACTAAAATAAGATAAATATTACCATATTTAGTGCTATAAAACATCACTTGCCTGTTGTGTCAGGACACTTTTTCCCATAAAAGATCCTTTAAAATGGAAACACATTTACGGTATTTACAATTTTAATTACAACTTTATTCTACCAGTAAACAAGCATAAAAAATTATAAACATAATTTCAGTGATTTTAAAAACTGCAGTGCATTGACCTGAAATGATTTGTATAAAAATGTTCGACTTTGCTCTTTAGATGGCTGTGTTGTAAAAAAAAAAACCCAGAAAAAATGGTACCAATATTTACAGTTTGCTGTGAGTGAATATTGTTTTAAATCCATGTTGCATATTCTACAGTAATATTAGGGTATTTAGTTAAAAAAGCACTAACTTACTGCTTTGATTTTCAAAGCAACAGAATATACAAGTATCTGTTAAATTATGTTAATTTCAGATTTGACAAAGCAAAGAAATATTACTTAAATTTGTTGGTATTTCTTTTAAAACAGGCAATAATTGAGAAACTTCCCATCAAGAAAATATTTTTATTCTATGTATAATTTACATTTTCTGACTCTTATTTTGTACCATCTAACTCAAAGCTTTAGGGTTTTATTATCATCTTTGATTTGTTTGGATTTTTTCATAAAATGTGTAATAAAATATAAATTTGGTGGTGAAAAAGGCAATTGGCTCTACAAATATATTGATTTAATTGGTTAAATCAAATAAAATGCAGAAGTACAACACTGCATGAATAATTGTAGATGTTTTATCATCACATCAAAGTTGAGATCTGCTCAGAACTTTTTCTGAACACCTAAAAAGCCAAAGATTTCCCCCACAGGACTTAATTTTAGCTTGTGCTAACAACCACGTTAGCATTCTAAAATGGTGAATAAACCCTTCATTAAGATATGTGGTGTTAGCATGCTAACAACATGAAGTTAGGCTCTATGTTAGTATAGAATATTATCTTCAGGATCAACATGCTAACATTGCCATTGGCATTAGCTAAAAGCACTGCTGTTTGCTAACATGCCAAAGTTATGCTTGAAATAAAAAGTTTGCATGGAGCAAAGAAATAAGTTATTATAAATGAAGCTTTGGGTGAAAAAATGTTAAATGTGGGAATAATGCATTTTTTTCCATGCAAAGAAATTTGCCACCATAAAAATGTTGGGGAATGAAAAATGTCTTTTTCTGTCTTATGTTTCAGTGTTTTATGTATCTCTGAGAGCAATTGTGCCAATTTAAAAAAAAGCAAGACAATTCGCTAAATAGCTAAAAAAAAATTCACACAGCTGAAATATAAAAAAWATCTAATCTGAAAGACAATGAATGAGCATGCAGAGTGCAGAATAAAAGTATTTGAAGTAACACAGCTGATAATTCTGGGTCAATGTAGTGTCCTGTACAGATCACATATGTCCAATGAACCCTTCAGTCCTATAGCTTACGCTTTGGTGTCAGTCAGCTCCTTGTTTCTTTTCATAACAGTTAACGGAGCCTTGGCCTGCTAAAAAGCTTCAGTCCACATGTAGTTGGTCCAGTCGGACTCCTCAGCCGTCATCGTGGACAGAGTACTGCCTTAACAGGAAGGGTCTTTTATGAGCTGGAATATCATTTTTGTACTCGTTGGCATAGATTGACACTTTGCCTATATCATCAGCTCTGCTCATAGGGCTGTAATCCATGGAGACCCCAGAGTCTGCCACTGCCATGTAAGTGTACCCAGGGCCTTTGTGTGTCCAGGCTTGGTTTGGATACTCAAAGCTGGACTGAGATGAAAGGCGACCTGACCCAGAGCTCTGCTGCGCAGACCCTAAATCAGAGTGGGACTCACTCAGTGTTGTCTTCCTTGAGGCAAAAAGCACCTCCAAGGGTAATGCTTCCTCGAAACTGTCATTGATGTGGTCATCTTCACTGTGATTGTTGGCGCTGAGGGTGACGTATGTGTCTTGAGATTCCAGCAGAGAAGACTGGGAGCAGGGGACAGGGTTCTGTTGCAGTGCCTGTAAGCGGTCCATCAAGCTCTGGTCATGCGGCGTGGCTCTCCACTCATTTGTTGCTGAATCACTTGTGTTAGACAGCTCCCTCTGGACGATTCCTTTCTTCATGGCACTGTCCTTGTTTTCGACAGCGGTCAAAGCTTTACAGACCTTTGGTGGAAGAGGTGGGGAGGTCAGAGAGGGGCAAAGGTTGAGTTCTGAGAGTACTTCCAGGGGAGAAGGACATTCCTCAGAGTAGATAAGAGCTGAAGTCACCCATAAGCCTCCACTGGTCTGTCCTAACCACTCCTAAAGCAAAAACAAAGAAGCATTAGAGCACTCGTTGTGAGCATGGAACTTAAAGCCGTTGTTTCAGGAAATTTCACTTTGAAATATTGTGGATTTGTCTCATACTTACCCGGAAATCCCCACCATAAACAGTGAAAAGACCTTGGAACTTGCTGTCAGGAGTTGGAATGATAGGCCAAATCTTCCTTCTAAGGAACCTGGAAAAGTATACACAGAAGCAGATTTAATTATTTTAATTTATTCATTCGTAAGCAGGGGAGGAAAGATTCTTCTGGTGTTTGAAAGTTTGTGTTTTAACACACTGACCTGTGATGGGACAAAAGCATGACAAGACAAAGCAGAATGAGGATGAAGGTGATGATGAAAGTCATTGACATGATGAGTGGGTCAAGTTCTGTAAGCAGTAAAGCAAGGCCGTTTGGACATGCATCCGTGAATGTACGGTGAAAATGTGCTACTAGAAATGACTGGATGAGTATTCACCTGCAGGCAGAGTTTCCATAAACACAGGGTCACTCCAGGCACTCCAAAAGCCATCGTAGGTGACACCGTCCAACTTCACACGGACTTGTACCCTGTACTTTGTACCAGGCTGAAGACCTCTGAGAATCAACTCAGAGCAGGCATGAACCACCTCCACCTACAAAAAAAAGATAATAGTAAAGTAAAAATCTACACGTAGCTGTAGCACGCTTTGCTAACTCATCAACCGACTAAGCGCCATACCTGCCCAGAGTGGCTGTCGGCTGGAGCGTAGATAATCTCATATATCACACTGTCGCCCATGTACTTCAGAGAAGGCGTGAGCCAGCTAACGTTCAGCTGCCCTTGATGACCCGTGCTGCTCACCGTCACATTTTCAGGGGGGTCCAGAAGAACTGTCAGACAGGTGAGAAGACTTGTTTTGGAAGGATTTTGGAATCGATGATATTTTTAGCCGTATTAGCTCAACCTATACACAAATCCTGAATTATGCAGCGTGTTTACATGAGCAGAAACAAAGGGTGGAAGACAACACTGATGTTTTGTTAGCAAATCAGGTCATATAGCGACAACATTTTGCCAGAAGTACAAGTTTCAGCAGACACAAAGCAAAATATGTTTGGTGCCATTTTTGTGCCCACTCAATAACTCAATATACAAAAACAGGCCTGAAGCTCAACACTAAATTTTGGGAGCTTATCTGTTTAGTGAACAGAGTTTTCTAAGCAGCGTAAACTTTTTTAAGTTTCTTTTTATTTTTTGTTTGTTTCTGGGATGATTTTTTTTTTTGCAGACAGTTGGCTGTTAACCCTGATAAAGTTCAATGGGTGACCTAGCAAAGATTAAAACCGTAGCAAAATATGTTGGAGATGATCCTATAGGCGATTTCCTAAGTATGCTGATCAAGTCGAGAGTAATCTGGTTATATAATTTTGCATAAGAAATCAGCTTTCGACTAAATCTGGATGCAGTCAGAAGGAATGAAACCCTTGTGTTTGGCCAAAAATCAGTGGGAAACCTTTGTGATAATTACTGGAACAGAAAGTGGCAGTTCAAAGTCGACAGTAAAAATCACTTACAAACAAGATCAACGAGAAGGCTGCGATTATAGATCTGGATTCCCTGCCGGTGAACCTGGACRTCCAACTGGACAAACATCTGAATCCGGTTCAGATGGCAGACAAAGAGCTGTTTTCCGCCCTCCATGGAGAYGACTGTGAGGGGGCACGTGCTGCTGTTTTCATTTCTGCTCAAGACAGAGAGACACATGGTGGGTTCAGGGACGAAACGCTGCGTTGGCACAACATAAATGCTGGATGACATTTTCAGTTATTATATTTTAGTAAATTACTATCAAACAAAAGTAATTTCAGTGCAAAAAGTAATTAGTAAAACATCATTAAATTGTAAACCTGATTTGTCACAATAGTAGAGAAAAAAAGAACTGATTGTTTTCATACAAAGGGTCTTACTGGTAGGCATATGTGAAGGAGTACTGATCCACAGATCCAGCCCTCTCCTCATCTTCTTCCCAGAAGCACGTGAAGTCATTCCTGCCCTCAGCAAAGCATTTTGGGTTTTCTGGTTCCTCTTTCAGAATCATGGAAGCTGAGCAGGAAAAGTAAGGCAACAAGTGAGAGACCCCACCACCATGATCAAGAGTTTGATCGACTGGTATTTAATATATGTATGAGTACCACTGATGCCACCAGGTGTCAAGAAGTATTCCTACCTTTCCTTTGGAAATCCTGTGCGCCCTGACAGATGGAGACCGTCCCAGTGGCGCAGAGGATCAGGTAAAGAGCCCACAGCTGGCTGAGCTGATCACATGTCATGCTTTCAGTCCTCTCCGTGAACAGAAAGACTCGGACCTTTTGCTTGGCACCTGCATCACTGAACAACCAGTTGCCACAAAACACGCGCGCTCTTCTTCTTGCCAGGAGTGAAACTTTTTTTTATGTGTGTGTGTTGTTTTTTTGTGATGGCGCGACACGGTTACGCGCCTGCTCCTATAAGATAAGATGYGTAGATGAGCTGTTTACTCTCTCCAACCAGCTCAGAGAAGGCGGGGCCACAGAAGTCAGTGGGGCGGGAGTCACGCGCTCATTGATATTTGTGTGCGTAATGATGTGGGCCAAATAGGCTTGCGTAAAAACGCATGGATGGATGGATGGATGGATGGATGGATGGATGGATGGATGGATGGATGGATGGATGGATG